TTTAAAATTATATAATTTTAATTATTTATTTATAAAAATGCAGTTCACACTTTAACAAAACCCGTATAAATCCAAGGTCTTAATCTTTGCGCAACATTAAAAAAATCTACAAACTTTCGTAAAGCTTTTTAATTAGATTTCCTATAAATACATATTTTGAGTATGCATTTTTGTAGCCCCATCAATTCAAATAAAGCGCAAGTTTAAAGTACATAGCTGCGACTTATCGTTGATTTTTAATATTTTTTTTTTTTGATGAAGGCGTTGCTATTTTCTTCATTAAAAAGAATCGTCGAACAAACTTAGATAATATGGAAGAAAATTACCGACATCGTAAATCAACATCAACGAATCACAGCTACTTTAAATTTGCACTTTATTAGACTAAAATTGAATGAGCTAAAAAATTGCAAAATATTAAGAGATAAAATTGAAATAGAAAGTTCGAAATTTTTACGAAAGTTTGTCGATTTTTTTTTTAATGTTGTTCAAATATTAAACTTATTTTCATTTAGTGTTTGTTAAGGAATAAACTATATTCTTATAAACAAATAATTCAAATTAAAATATAATAAAATAAATAGTCAAATCTAGTCAATATGTGAGTGTCGTAAAGTTATGATATTTAAGAACATCTCTTTCGTAATTAACGATTACACTGTTTCTATATGAAGCTGATTTCAACATTTTGTTCTAATAAAATTTAGTATCGAAAATATTCTTTCAAAACTTGCCTAGGAATGTAATATAATGGTTTTTTCAAAACTTATAAAGGCAAAAACGAGAAGGCGAAGACAAAAAGAGAATAAAAAAATTTCCTGCAGTGAATTTTCAGATTTTTAAAACGGTATAGTAATTTAATTGTTTAAATTTAAATAAAGCATGAATATCCCATGGAATAAACGGGTAGATAAAAAAAATACCGCACACCGTCTTCAAAAGAATCACAACTCCAAATTTGGCATTTTTGAGATTATGCGCTAAATATGTACGCAGAGCTTTTATTTACCTTTCAGCAAAAGCTGGAGCAATTTTTTGTTATAATTTGTTTAAAAAAACCTAAGGTAAAGTCGCCCTTGCTCATATGATTATCATGTGATAAGAAATACTTTTTCGCATTTTCTGACAAACGTATTATTTTGAGTTGTGACTCTTTTGAAGACGGTGTGCGATATAACGGTAAAACTGGCACATACATAAATATATGAAAGAATGCACTCAGGCGACGCCTCTAGCCATTGTGTGTCACAAATTTAAGTTATCGATGGAAATTTTTTCCCCCAAAGCCAAATCCTGGCTACGCCACTGTGTATGTATGTATTTATGGACATCAATGTTGCAAAGAGCATGCGTACCAGTGATCGGACTTAAAAATTGTGTGGTAGAATCTGGAAAAAAATGTGGTAGATTTCAAAAAAATACAAAAATTAAAAAATTCTGCAAGGTTTCACATAAATTGCAAACATTTTAATTAGACTCTAAAAAAAAATAATTTTAGTATAATTAAGTGCAAGATTGAAGTTGCTAAAAATTGCGTTGAGTTTTGGCAATTTTTTTCCTTGAACGTGTAAAGCAGTTCCCTCCATATCAAGATTTTTTTCCAACATATTTTGAACAGTTTTTCTTTTTATCACATCACGATGTAGCGAACAAATGTGGCACGTTCCAGAAACCGCTACTTGGGATTTGCCGATTTTGACAATTTTTAAGTAAAAGTAAACAACGCTTTAGGAACTTTAGATGCACTGAAATTTGCTAATACTTTCACAAAAATCGCCGTTTTTTAACATTTTCGCTATTAATTATTTTTATAAATCATATATTTTGCAATTTAACACAATAAAACCACGTTTCCTGTCGAAAAATTGAATGTTGAGAAAAGTGAATATTTTACAGTTTATTTTATAATCCCATTCGGCCTGTTGTTAAAGTTTAGTGTTGGACAATTTTTGCTTTTAAACTTAAGAAAATTATGTCGAGCAAAAATAAAACTACTCAAAAATGCGAATATGTGGTAGATTTCAGACCTTGTGTGGTAGATGCTCAAAAAAGTGGCAGATCTACCACAATGTGGTAGAAGTCCGATCACTGATGCGTACGAGTAGCTACATACATATGTTTGTATTTATGAATATATGTACATATGCCCCAGCAAGAACGACCTAACGCATTCTCCAATACACTTACAAAATTGTCAATAAAAACCAACACATTTGCATATTAGCGATATCCATATGCCATTCTTTGCGTTATATAATACGTTATTAATCGCATAATAATATTTGATTGAAAAGAGACCACTATATATAGGATAATATAATAGCGAATTCCGTATAAAAGAAAGAGAAAACTGCTCACACGTGAAACGATTATGCGTTAGATTTCTCCAGGAGCCCTATGTAAAATGATGGAAAGTTTTTGAATTTCTCACACAAACTTTTTGTAGGCGTATATAACGCATTAGTTAACAGAGAGGGTTCTTACTGGGGCATGATTCAATAATAGAAAGGTTTTCTCATAAAACAGTCTTCTCGCTCCCACACATACAATCGGCTCCTTTACTTGCGCAGAAGGTTGCTCACTCTACAGTTTCTAGTTATATTAGTAGTAAAACCAAAAATTCTTCATACTAGGTATTCGTTAACATCAATAAATGGCCAATCTAGTTAACATGTATAAAGTTTTGATAAGCACTTGAAATGTCAAGTTTTAGTACTGAATTCAAAGAAGATGTCTCTTTTATCCATTCATAATAACTTAAAAAAATTTGTTTGTTAACAAGTGTATCTTAAAATATCTGCCTTGACATTTATGTTAAAAGTGTAAAATATGTAAATGTACCTACATAAACTTTCCCGTGAATACCATCAAAGCATTGGTCTTGAAGGGAATCTATGTATGCATGCATGCATATTAGCAAATTAAAAAGTCGATACAATTTACAGTCGAAAAGTACAGTTTTTATATAGATTATAGATTATTTCCCAACACTGTAGGGAACTAAGCAAAATGGCCTAGTGTATTTCGCAAATATTCAAATCCATAATCCACCAACCGATAATTTTATATATCATTTAAAGATAATTTGTCATCAGTCTGAAATAAAAAAATTATAAATCGGAAGGGTAAAATAGTATTGTGTTATTAGTTCAAAAATAAAAAGTTTCATTTCACTGACGAAGGGGGGATCTATCCCCCCAATACCCCCGCTCCCCCCTGGCTACGCCACTGTACATACATATGTATGTTCATCAGCAGATGTGGGCACTACCACCATGAACGGATGACACAAGATCACGCGGGAAGGAAAGAAAGAAAAAAGTTATTTTCCAGCTGCTGAAGTCTCGACGCCATCTTTGTTGTAAGAAGTAAACAACGAAGAGAACGAAGAAAACCGCGAAATTGTTGAACGCATGACTAATCATTTTTATTATGCAAATTCTTCTATAAATCATGTCGTTGTGTTAAACTATTCTTTACCTTATGGGCTATTTTACACTAGAATAACAGAACAATTATTCTCACGGTTTCACACTGGATGAAAACTAGCAGAATAACAGCAGAACAAAATGTGTATACGTATAGGACGTTTGAGTGTATTTGTTAAATTTGTGCTCAGTCGATACCTGCCATCTCTGCAAATCAGCGAAATGAATTAAAAACAAGTAAGAAAGTCTAAGTTCGGGCGGAGCCGAACATTAAATACCCGGCGCAAGTATTAAATATATGTTTTTTCACCCTTCCGAAACCTTCCGCTAGATGGTAAGCCGACGTGTATCAATTTTGAGTAAATTAGCGTCCTTCAATTTCGAAATATTGAAGTCTCAAGCATTTCTTAAATTTACCGTTATATGAGAATCGGCCGTTATTTTAGTCCGATTTCAATAATTTTCAACGTTTTGCTTACACGTGGCAAGTACAATAACCATACCGAGTTTGGTACAAATTGGTAGAACGGTTAC